GGGCCTAACTTACCCCCACGCCCTTCTTTAATTATATATACACACTATTAAATACTATTAAATTTACTAATGCACAATCATGTGTTTCAGTAAGGGAAATGGAGAATAAGTCATTAGGGACTTAAATACAATAGAAAGAGCCATAAACTATAATATACACGAGGTATATAACACTTGTTTATGCCTCTCTCTACTCTCTCTATACACGTTCTTGGATTTCTTTGACCAATAGAAAATCATGCCTGTCTCATTATGGAGAATTGGGAGTAATCCTTTGACATATATAGGAGCATTATGGTGATTTGAGCCACATGATGTGTTGCATCATTACACATGCATAGTTTTCCCTCAGCTTGGTTATTGGTTTTGCAATGTATCTTTGTCTGGGCATGACCATGCTAAGGCTTAGTCAAGTTTTGTAGGCTAAGGTGTTATTTGTATGTTTGTGCGCCTTACTAGGCTTTGGACTAAGTGATGCTATTTGTGGGGTTGGTAAATCTGTTTGCAGTGTGATACTGTTGGTTGTCCATGATTCCCAGGCAGATATTCTCTTATTACATGGATCAAATATAGGGCATCCTATCTACACATAATTCTAAGCAAGGAAAAAAACAAAAAAAGAAATAAAGAGAAGAAAGACAAACCCTGTGACATGTAGAGACATTATGAACTCCTAGACATATGGTTAGTTCCAACACCTTGGAGATGGAATCTGGTCCAGCTCGGCTGCCTGCATAACGGGTTAGCAAGATAATTGCAGCTAGGATGGGTTGGTAAATCTTGTTGATTGGGCTCAGGAACCCTCTTTTGTTAAGCCTTTTCTAGTGATGAATTTTTCCTTATTAAATTTAAAATATTGTCTACGTTGTCCCTTCTTCTTGAAGGGTATACTTTCAGTCCGTGGAATTCATTATCCCGTTCCTTATTAATAAAGAGTGACTTTTTCCTACTTCTGAACTACCCAAAGTCATGCTAAAACAGTCTTAATCTTACAACTCACCTGCCCAAAAGAGCGTAATGGCATTTCTTGGACCTTGTTTGTTCTCCCACTCAATAATGGGATCATAGTTTTCATGTCTATCAATCATTCTATATTATCTTTCTGTCCCCTAAATGTATTACTTCTCAAACTGGGACAAACGGAGATGCTCTCTGAATTTTACTCTCTTTACTAATTTTTCAATTCAAGCAGTTTGCTTTTTCTATGTTCGAAATTGTTCATGTTATGATTGGTGCTATTGATCCATCATCTCTGGCTTCTCTCTTGCCTATCTAGAGAATATGGATCCCTCCCTCAAGACTGTAGTGGTTATATCATCTTATATGACAATTTCTTTATTTTATTTTATTTATTTATTTGTTTTTTGCAGCATTGGCTAAGGCTCAGCAGTTATTGCTTGATCAGCAAGAGAGGGAATACCTTCTTATTCAAATTAATTCTGCAAGAGGTACAGAGTTATACGATTGTCTTTGTATCCCCCCCCCCACCCGGCCATCATGTTACACCGTTTCATATGCATATTTATAACCCTTTTTTTTTTCAAACAATGCTGCTTCTAAATTTGAATGTTATTAGCTTAAATGCCTTGTGAGCTGTGGAAGGATCATGTTATATATTGATTCAAGCTAGACTTGGTAGTTTCTTTCATCAAGATTTGTAATTGCTGTCCTTCTAACCAAATTAAAAATCTTAACCAGGTCTTTCTTGTTTTATTTTCTGACTTTCAACTCTAAGTTGTCGTTGAATAAATGATGTTCAATATCTGTTTATATTGAAGGCTTTCTATGTACTTCATTCTTTAAAATGAAATGACTTTGTAAAAGCAAAGCATCAACAACGTGCTTATGGTGATGTAGACTAAGCTTTTCACACCTACCATGTTGGCTAATCTTAAAAATTGACGATGGTGGCATACTGATATTTGGGAAGACTAAAAAATAACTAATGTTTTGCCGAGGACTTGCAACTATAAGATGCATGCAAAACTAGTCAGTCTCATCACCGGTTTCTAGTGACCGATGCAGTGCATCACCCATGCAGTTGTTGACAAAATCTGGCCACTTTTTTGCCTTCTATATTTCGTAACTCCCAAATTCTACTCTCTTTAAGAGTAGCAGAGAGAATTTCAATAAAGTCCTACCATGGGAATTTGCCAACTCGCTGGTCTGGTGGTCCTCTATTCCACCAAGTAGTAGTTATCTTCAATTTATTTTGTTTGGAGACTTGAGGTTCTTAAGAGGATTCTTTCATAATTTACCATACAGCCTCATGACCTTACCTAAAAATGACCTTCTCTGCCTATTGGCACCATTATTGACTATCAGCAACAATAATCATGTCATGCCTAGGGCTGCACACTATTCATCAATGTCAATGCAATGTACAACTTACCGCAACTTGCTGCTTGTAACTTTGGCAACAGCAGGACCAGTCTTAGTTGAAGGGATCTCCTAACATGGATGGCGCTACTGCACTCGCAAAACGGGATCACGGTCTGGCCGTGATCCCATCTGGGGGAAGTGCGATCTCAAGTCAATAGGAATTGGTCAACCGGTTAAACACCCATATTCTCTATATTTTTAAATTTTAAAGCAAAAAAAAGCAATAAATGCATTTTTTTTTATAAAAAAGAGCAATAATAATAAGAAAATAAAGTAATAACTACTCAAATCCATGTATCATAAATCTTTCAAAGAAAAACTATATTTTAAATCTGCATCAATCCCATAGAAAGAGTTGTAAATCCAATGTCCCAAAATTGCGTTTAATATAGGGAATGCTGGGTCCAACATTTGTCACAAATGGTTATAGGGTATCGACCTTTCATTTTTTTAAAATGTGTCTAAGAGATAGAATGATCTCTCTCATACATCCCTTTACATCTCTTTCTCTATATATATTTCTATTTTTATGTGCTGGATCTTCTTCTTTTTTTTTTTTGTGGTTAAATTTGAAGAAAACGGTTGGACTTCTATATGATTTGATTGAATTAGTATCTGTTATTATCACAGTCAACACATTCCAAAAGAAAAAAACCTTTTATTATCATTTAAAATATAAGACCGAATATATCTTTAGTAATATTTCTGAAGGTCTTACATATAAGAAGATTCAAGTAAATAAATATCTGCTATCACTCTCAAATTTTATTTGAGTAAATATCTTTTAAGTATAGTCCAAGATATTTTGAATATGTTAATTTTACATCTAAATATTTTTATAAAACTGAGTTTGATCTTTTTTTTCTTTAAATTTGTATGGCTTTATATATTTATTTTACGGGTGCCTCATGGAGCTCCCAAGGAAAGGCTAGCAAGCGATGATCTTGCTGCTCCCGCACCTACTCCCTGAAGGTGATATAGAGTCTAGGAAGCTCTATTTACAACACTTGGACTTTGATCTCAATTAAAAAATTTGCAAGCAACACTTTCACATATAAGTTTCCAACCACAATTTTGAACTTACAAAGACTCAAATATCGTTGAAAATGAAAGAATTATACCTCTATGGAGTCCCCAAATTATAAAATAAACGCATTGCTCATATAGAAGCAAACTACACCACTTAGCATACACTTATATATAGACTGCACATACTTTTTTCCCATCAATATAAACAAACTCCAAACTTTGCATAATCAACAATTAATGACGTAAGACATTAATAAACTCAAAGTTACAACAAATAAGTGCAAAACAATGAAGGGAAGCCAATGGTCGAACCCTTTGCGCCCCGGTCACACATAAGCAGACCTTTTAGGGACCTAAGTTTGTTTTATGGATGATAGCACAGATGGCTATAAAACACAGAGGTTGATCTTCACTTATGAAGTGGGAAGCTTATGTGCACTTGAAAAGCACTTGATTAACTTTGAAATGAGAGAAGTGAACTTTTGGTGATGGAAACAATAAGCAACAATCATTTATAAACAACTTGAACTATGTGAGTGTATATCGACATAAACTCGAGAAAACAATAATAGTCTCATAGGGGAAACACTTTAGGATCAAGGGCCAATGATACGGTACTCAAATGGGGATCAAATGTTTGCTCATATGCCCAAAATATTTCAGAAAAAATCTCAAAGATGATGAAGAAAATGGTGTCTAAGAGCAAAGTAGTAAACTAGACTATTCACATATGATGGTATACATGCATAGTTACATAAGGGACTTAAAAATCATGAGTACTCTAGCATATATGGATGAAGAGGCTACTGTAGTCTCTGATTTACAGCAAAGAAAAGTGGAACAAAATACTCTAGAAATGAAAGGTGGAAGCTACCTTAGGTGTGGAGCACCAAGTAACCTAGACACTATAGAAGAGAGCCCTAATAGCCATGATAATTTTGCTCACCAAATGGAAGAAGGAAGAAAGAAGTGGGGTGTGGAGCCTCTCTCTACTCTCTCTCTTACTCCCATCAAATGGGTTGCAAAGTGTGTTTTGAAATGAGTCTAAGGGAGCTATTTATAGGCAATTTCAAGTGACATTTTAAGTGAATTGATCAAGACCCTTGATGCTCATCATCCATGGCACATGAGACGACTTTGATCCTAGCCACTCATCCTTATGTAACCGCCTTATGTAACCATTAAGATCAAAGGATGAGATTTCACACCCTTATCATTCCTTAGAAACCCTAGATTAGGCTATTTTACTAAATTGTCCTAAGTTTGAAATAAATCTCCCATTTGCCATTGAAGCATATCAAAAATGCCCATTGTTATCTTTTAAAAATCAATAAAGAATGCAAGGGGAGGGTGTGCCGTTCGTGTAATTGTGAAAATATCTTCCACCCATCCAATAGGATTAAGCCATTTCGAAAGATTCACATGGGCTCAAGCCAATGAGGTGATGCCACACAAAAAGTAACTTTAAATATCATTCCCAACCATGGATAGGGTTTGAGCGATAATTTCATGGCATACCCAAAACCCTACACACATGTGACATGTGACTAAATAAATCACTTAAGTTATAAAAACACTTTTCTCATTTAGAACTTTATAGAACTCAATGAACAAATACACAAAAAATGACAAAGGACACCCATTTGGTTTTGATGTCAGCCATTAGTGGTTCCTTGGAGTGCCATGTGTCACCCTATGGCCACTTGGGTGGCACATGCCCCCCCCGCCCCAAACTGGTTCCTCAAGTGGAATTAAGGTTAAACAAATCCAAAAACTCTTTTTTCTTGCTCCAAAAAAATTCCAAGAAATTCTACAAACCATATTTTCCATCATAAATACTCATTATGGCATCAAAATAAAATTGGAGAATAGGTAAATAAGATCTCTAGGCTGATATCTAGGTATCGAAGTACTCTACTGGGCTAGTCCGAAATGATGGTTCAATGTTCATTCTTTCGGAATAACCCAAAAAGCCTATGCTCTACAGTTTATGGCAGGGACGCATAATATGGCTTATCAAAGTCACCCCAATCAATATCCCATCAATCTCGGGTGTCAGTGGGTTACAGGTGCACCCCTGGGGACATACATGCAGGGTCCACTCAAGGCACATGTGTATAAGCTCCTCTTAGTTGGATCACACTTTAGAAAATTGGCTTCCCATGTGATTGTAGGTTCACATGCCATAGGGTGGTCTCGTGTCGAGGTACGGACTCATGTCCTATGAGTCATAACCATCCCATACAATGCCCTTACACTTAAGGTACTCGGGTTATAATCTCTTCTTGGTTCTCTTAGCCCTGGCCAACACGTAATTCATGAGGCATACACTCAAATGTATTTGTGACTTAGAGTTGATCCTCACACCTCTAAAAGGGATCTCTCTATCTCTCACACCGGTATATCTCATTGCCTCATGTACGGCGTATATGATTCTTTGCCCTAGTGCATCAAGCACCTAGAATTATCATCTCTCACTCACTCCCACTAAGCAAGGGAATATTGGATTTAAGGTCTTGAAAGGCCATAATTCTGACACTTCCCTCCCCCACTCACTTTGAATAACTATGGGACCTGTTACTGGCACATCATCATGCTATTCCAATGACAAACTCGGCCTAGGGCCTTGGTAGGTTTCTTTTGTTGCCTATTTGGGGTTCATATGTTTTTGATTTAAGGAGCTTGACTTTATGCCATGGGGCAATTTATAGAAAGTTTAGAAAATAAAAAGAAGAAGCAGAGTTTATGCATTGTACCTATTGGTATTTGGTCTTGTAAAGAAAGTGTGACAATTGGGTGAGGAAGAAAGCACTTGGGGGAAGGGTTGTAGTTTGGTATTGGGTGGAACTTCTCAACAATCTATTAGACATGTTATATTATGTTTGTTAAACTTCTCAACATTTGAACAGATCACTTTGATTCCTTTTCTTTTGCAAACAACATAAGTCCTTGGAGAAGGAGACCATGGAAAGAATATTTCTTATGAGTAAAGATAAAGGCATCAGGAATTGTGAGGAAGGGAGATTGTTATCAATCACGTCTAATACTTTCCTTGGACCTTCAAGTTTATAGATTGAAAGTTCGAACTTTTGGCTCAGTAGGAAGGTCCAACTCATAAAGTTTCCAGTCATAAACCATATTTTGAGAGACAACCAAGCAGTGATAGAATTCAGATTACACTTATATGAAACGTAAAAGTCAACACCCACTAAGTTTTGATGCAAGAGGTTGAAGACTCTCTACTAAGAGGTTATGGTTTATCGTGTTCTGATAGTGTATTTATTATTTATTATTATTGTTATTTTTACATTTCCTTTTTTTATGTATCTTATTGTGCAAAATTCTTGCACACTCATAGGTATATATGAAATCATGATCTTGTTTCTGTAGTTGCTTCTCCAAATGGGTTTGGAGTAATATTTTTAACTTCTATGTCAATTTCTATTGTTTCTTGAAAATTTCTGTTCCATTGCTCATTCTCGAATGTCCTTCACTGGTATTAATTATACCATTTGTTATATATGAAAGAGAAAAACTTACTTCCTTTTGATTTATCCGCTCATTAAATTCTTGTAATCTCAATTTTTATCTCTTTGATTGTATATCCCAAGCTAAGCAATTTATGTAAATTCTTTTTGAAATGATGAACTGCAGATGAATTGAGAGCCAAGAGGAAGAAACAATTAAAGAAAGACACTGCTTCTAAATTGAAGTCGTTGGTTGATGAGGTAACTTCAGACTGCATTTGAGATTGTCCTAGCACTAGTCTGACAAACTATTGCTAACTTATTCATTTGATCAGCATCGAGATGTGCCTCTCTAAGCATAGAGGGCAGTATTTCTTGATTCATTCTGGTCCCAATTGAATGATGGGGCTGGATTTGTTCAAGACAAAAGTTATGTGGATGATGGGTTTGCCTTGAGAACTATACATCTTATGCCCACTAATATATGATTTATGTATATTCATGGTGTTCATATTTTTATTCTATAGAATGTACAATGTAGTGAATTGTTATACACGCCTTTTATCAATTGTTGGTGTACTATGACTGAATGATTAGAAGTTTATAGTAGTGTTTTGGTTGCAGTGAAGTTCTGCAGATTTATGGATTTTGTTGTTGAAAGTTTTGTAGTTTTTGTGGAAAAACAACTGTTCTGTATTCTCTACTGCCCAAAATTTTTGCATTCATATATTGCAATATCCATGCAGAACAAACTATTGTGGAGTTGCATGCACCTTCCATTTCCGTGGGACTGCAGAGCAGTAACTCTGGCACTCAGGTTTCATTTGATGCATATGCTCTTTCATATTGCCCTTTTCCACCAAAAATGCCTGAGTTTGTCGCTTTCTTCCTTTCCGGTTTCAATGATTATCATCCAGTGCAATGCATGCCAAAGGGAATGGAGTTTCAGGATGAGACTCAAAACTATAGATCCCTGACTCCTTGGAGTAGGGACTTTTGGTTGTTATATGGCAGTCAATGTCATTGCGCTCCATTCAAAATTTGGGGCATCTAGAAATCCTTTACAATTAATTACAAGAGTTTTAACAACATTAAAAAAAAATAACTACGAGGGAACTTATCACCAACTCAATACATGTAGAACTTCTTGCCTTCACCTTTTTTTTCTTGTGATTAGCAATAATTCTTACAACTGTGAGGGTAGCGAACCCATGCTTACATGGAATTAGCTTCCGTTGGGACATGAACGAAATCTAAAATATGAAAATCACATAAAGGATCTTTGTCCCAGCCAGTGCCCATGTGGTCGAAGAAATTCCTTTGGATTGTCTATTATTAAGAGAGCTGCTTTGGATGATAACTTGGCCACACTCCTTCTGGTGCCTCCTTAGCTTTGGCTTGCTTGACCATTTGTATTGACTATAGGCCCTATGAATATCTTTATAATGGTTCCATCTGCATTTCTGATAACTCAACCATACTCTGCGGGCCCATGTTCCTTTGGTTGCTCCCATGAAGTTCATCTTTTTAACATTTTTGTGGAGCTGTAACCAATTCCTAGAAACTCGTGGTCTTTCTGCAAATCACGCATTCTCGATGCCTTATATCTTCCGTGTAAAGCTGTTCCATTGCAGGTCTTTGTAGAGTGCAGGAGATGATGCCTCTTTTAATCATATCAATCAACATGTCTTTCTTTCTTGATTCATTTATTCTTCTTTCTAGATGAGCTAGCCAGACGATGGCTAAGTATGTTGCCCAGCACAATATTGCATCCCTTTTGCTTTACCATGAACTCGCCAAACAAATGAATTAGTCACCACTTCTCACCAGCATTTTGGTATTGTCAACAGTGACCCGTTGAAATGCCATTCACTATATCCATTTGGACATAAGTACTCTGTTACCATCATAGCTTGAGATGAAGCAACTTTTAAGACTATAGCGAATGGATTCAGGGAGTTACAGGGTTCAAATTAGCCTCTTTTTGGACAGGTGGCCAGTGTTTGTTCGTTGTCTCAATGGAAATATGATCATCTTATTTATTTTTCCAGAAGGAAACCATTCATCCATGGCTGGTGTATGCCAAATAGCTGCAAGAAAATGGGGTTAAATGAAGTCGTAACTTGCCAGTTGCAACCACTTCCGATTGGTGTAGAATGAGATGGATAACTGACTTTTAAAAGAGTGAGATGTACATGCATACATGTATATGAATTGAGTGTATAAACAGCATGTTAAGTTACAAACTTGGACCAAGCCATCTAGCAAGAAAGGGGGACATTTCTTGGGGTCGAATCACAAGAAGTTGAGAACTGAAGCCCCCTCTCTCGCTATTTAATTGTCTAGCAGGTTGGACTTGCTCCACCTGTGTGTAAATAAGATATTAAAATTTGCACATCTTTCAAAAATTTCTTCATAGTAGTAAGCTAGTCTCCATGGGCATCTAGACTCCTTGGCCCATGAGATTACATTTTTGGATCTCTTTTGATTGGTAGAGCACCCCAACTTGGGTTGAACATTTGATGGAGTTCATTTCAATGCTATTCATTTCAATAGTTTCAAGAGTTATTTACAAGACATGTTCTATTTGTTAGCCATGGGTACAATTAGCTTTGAATGGCCTCTTAGATCAACCAACTGGTTTAAGGTGGATGCCTTTGCATAAAAAAAATTTCTCATCAATCATCAATACTTGGGTGTATGATATTTGTGCTCTTTATCTCAAGATTTCGGGATTTTTAGTTTCCCTTATATTCCAAGTTGGAGGTTATTGTTGACTTTTTCTTTTTCATTTTAATATCAAATGAAGAAATATGACATCCTTATTCTACTTTTAAAATATATATACTGACTTACTGTAAAAGCTGACTATTCAAGTCGTCATTGCAGGGAAAATATGAGCAACAGTATGAACGGTCTGAAGAGTTTCAGCAGCAACTAAAGATGAAAGTACGTGAAATACTAACTGAACAAGAATGGCGTCGCAGGAAAATGCAAATGAGGGTAAACTATCAGCTAATAAAGAAGGGACTGTATACAGTAATCTAGTGAACTTTTGTATACTAGCTCCCTCATGTCATCACTGTTGAATGAAATGAGCAATGTCAATGAAGAGAGAGTGGGACTCATTATTGTGGTCATGTCTCATCTGGCCTTGCTTTTCCATTTGGCTCCCATCGTTTCATTGGATGCTGATGACCCCAAAGGGAAAACATTGTGTATGACCCAAGCTGACTGCAATAGTAACTGTTCCTCCCCCATTTTGGTGGCCATAGGGGCATTTGTTTCGCCCCAAATTTAGCAGACACTTCTCTTGGACCCAGTGAAGGAGCCCATGAAAAAATTCTGAAAAAAGAAACCATGAAAAATGGTTTCTTTGAAGACAGAGACAAATGTAATGAGTATGAGCTGTCTATAATGGCAAAGAACAAGTGGCATTAAATTGAGACCTAAGGGATGTGTTTGTCGCCAAATTTTGTAGGTTGCCTCATCTTCACTAGATGAACAATTTTTTTAAAGAAAAAAGGATTTTGACTTCTTAAAGGGCTAGATCTAGCTGCTCATGAAATGGATGGCATGTGCACTCCGAGTTAGAACAAACCATTTAACTGTTTTTTACTTCCTTTCTTAAAACTTTCTTTCCATGGGCTTCTTTGCTGGATCCAAGAGAATGTGTGCGCCAAATTTGGATTGAAAAATACCCCTAATGCCACCAAAATGAGGAGGGCGGATCATTGCAGCAGTGCCCTTTGGCAGGCCAAGCGCGTTCCCTTTATGATAATATACTTTCACTGTAAGGTACATGATTGCTCTTCCTGTTTCAATCTCGTAATTAGTTGAATTGTTTCATGTTTGACATGCTTCGTATATTTATCTATAATGCCTAATCGTCATCATGATTATCACCATCGTCATTGTCCGAGCTTTATCCAAACTATTTTTGGAGATCTATAATCCCTAAAGGCTTATAATATTTGTCACTATGGTGCAGATATCAGAAGAGGAAGGTCGATTGAAGAAAGATGAGGAAGAAGCAAAGGAAATGTGGAAAAGAAAACGTGAGCATGAGGAACAGTGGGAGGGAACAAGAGAGGAGAGGGTTTGTTACTCATCTTTGGAACTCACTGAACTTCCCATCCTGAGTTTCTTTCCTTTTTCCAAGCTAGTGTTACACTTTTCCTATTTACTGCAATGTCATGTACTTGGGATCTTCATAAATTCAAACCTATAGAGAACTATTTGAATCAAAAGGGCCTTCATTAATTGTCTGAGGACTTCAATTACATGATCTCAAAGTAACAGCGAATCCTTCACGTAACAATTAGAAAAGGAATTACAGATGCACCTCCTAAAATGTAGAATTAAAGATGCAACTCAAAAATCCATCGGAAAAAGGTTGTTTTAATGTTGAAACCGTCTAATTGATCATCTTGACATCAAGATGTATGAATATGAAAAGAAAAGAAGATTTTGAGTCTCAGATAGTGCATCTTGCAGCATATTATCTTTGACGATCCATTTTTAAGATTTTCACATGTTTATAGATCTACTTGATTTTAACCAATAGGAGTTTAAAATTTTGTAATTAGATATCGAAATGGATTTTTAGATAATCCTAAGAATTTTTACACCAAAATTACATATGTTAAATTTAGAGGTGCGCCTTAATTGGATTGTTTAAGGTTGCAATCTTATAGAAACCACACCCATTAGAAAATGCCCTGTTCTTTAGCAACGATCCTTATCATTCATTTGCCCTTAATCCAAAATGATTTGTATTGAATTTTAGGGGCTTAAAGTTTCTACAGGAAATGTTAAAGTAGGTTGCAAAGTTACCATATAGGGGTATTTTATCAAAACCCTATATGCATGCATACACAACTGTATCTAGTTCTATGGCATTTTGGTTATGCCCTTATATTGGGCTCTACATGGGGCAGGCGGGCTATTCTTCTTGTGTAGTATTAAGAGATCATAAATTCAGATTTCATTGTAGCTATAATTCTTTACCATAGAACTATAACTTCGCATCACATAGAGAATGCTTAGTTTGGCTTTTGGAGGTGGAAAAGGATTCCGTGAGTGAGCTTAGGCTTTTCAATAATGAACGTGCCTGTGGAGAGCTTCCTGCATATTCTCAAATTGATTGTTCGGAAAAGAAGTAGGCCTTCACTTGTAATGGTTTAACACATTCAGATGGCATTATAGGAAGTGTTCTTGGAAGCTTTCTTACTTCTATTTTATATTTGTTCAATTTTTTGATTTAAGTGTTTTGTATTATTTAACTGCATATTATGTATTTATCCATTTTCTGGTGCATTCAGGTTTCGAGCTGGAGAGACTTTATGAAGGCAGGAAAGAAGGTGCTCTACCTTTGATAATTCATTTCTTTATTAACCAGTTAAAGAAAATCATTAGTGAAATAGATGGAATGTGCTAGAGCATATATTGACTACGTAGGGATGAGTTAATATGGCATGATTTTGTTTTTCACAGGGTAAGAAAGGGGAGATTCGACCGCCTAAGCTCAAGACTGAAGATCCAAATAGGTCGTATGTGCAAAGGCCAGTAAAACGAGGTTGAGAGAGAGAGAGAGAGAGAGAGAGAGAGAGAGAGTGGACGAGGTATGTATAAGTTAAGTAAGTAGTAGTAAGTAAGGTAGTAAAGTACGTA